TGCATTTGTCTATATTAAACTGTATCTGCCACTTCTCAGACCACTGCATCAGTCTATTCAAATCATCCTGGAGTGCACTAATGTTCTCATTAGAATGAACTAGACAGCCTATTTTGGTGTCATCAGCAAGTTTGCTTATTTATTCCCTCATCTGTCATTTATGTAAATTGTGAACAACAAGGGGGCCAACACTGACCCCTGTGGAACACTGCTTGTGACGTGCTGCCATTCTGATGCAAAACTCTTATGCAAACTCTCTACTGCCTATTTGTCAACCATGCCTCTACCCAGGAAAAAAATTTTCCTCCTATTACATGTGTCTTAAGCTTCCTCAAGAGCCTCTGATGTGGAACTCTATCGAAAGCCTTACTGAAGTCCATATACACAATATCATATTCAATACCATGATCTACCTCCTCAAATACCCTAGTGAAAAAAGTTAGTAAATTCGTAAGACAGGAACACCCCTTTGTAAAACTGTGCTGAGATTCATTAATCAATTTATGCCTTTCAAGATGGCTACGAATTGCCTCAGCAATTACTGATTTCATAAATTTTCCCACTATGGAGGTAAGGCTTATTGGTCTATAGTTCAAAGCTAAGGACCTGTCATCTGCCTTGTAAATAGGTATTACATTAGCCATTATCTACTTGTCTGGCACTATGCCAGTTTGTAGTGATATATTGAAAAGATTAGCCAAAGATATGCTTAGTTCCCCTTTACATTCCTTTAAAACCCTTGCAAACAGTTCATCAGGGCCTGGGGATTTGCTAGGTTTTAATTTCTCTATTTGTCTGAGGACCATGTCACTAGTTACCTCAATCGTGCATAGTTTATTATTGTCCTGTTCTACGTAATTTATTATTTCTGGAATTTCGCTAGTATCTTCCTGAGTAAAAACTGAAAGGAAGTAGGTGTTGAGAAGTTCACACATATCCTCATCATTGCATGTGATCTGACCTGAGTTACTCTTAAGTAGGCCTATCTTGTCCTTAATCTTACTTCTGTAGACCTGAAAGAAATCTTTTGGGTTAATCTTTGAATCCCTTGCGACTTTAGCCTCATAATCCCTTTTTGCTTTTCTTATTCCTTTTTTTTTATTTCTCTTTAACTGAATATATTGATTTCTTAACTGCTTTTCCCCTCTCTTGATATGCCTATATGTGCCTCTCTTTTGACCAATGAGATGTTTTAATCTATTGTTTATCCATTTGGGATCATTTTTGTTAGATCTAATTTCCTTACTCGGAACAAAAGGTGTCTGGGCAGCTAGCACTATGCTCTGAAACACGTCATATTGGCAACCAATACCAGCTACCTGACCCATAGTCAAGTCATCCCAATTTAGTCCACCCAGGTAATTTCTCAGTCCCATGCAGTCAGCCAAGCAGAAATCTGGGACAAGGACTTGATTGCAGTTATCAGGATAATTCCATGATATGCTGAAACAAACTGATTTGTGACTGCTTTCCCCAAGCTCATCATTAACCTGAAGGTTATTAACTATTGATTCTTTGTTGGCAAGAACCAGGTCAAGCAGGCTGTTTCCTCTAGTTGGTTCTGTCACAAACTGTTTTAAAAAGCAATCCTGAACCATATCAAGAAAGTCACTAGACTCAAGATTTCCTGTCACATTGTTCCAGTCAATTTGTATAAAGTTAAAATCTCCCATTAACACAACATTTTCATATCTAGAAGCCTTATGAATTTTGTCCCATTGCAGCCTACCGCACTCCCTTTCAAGGTTTTGGGAGCCTGTAAATCACACCCAAAATGAATTTTTCATGACCTTCGAGAAACTGTAGTCAAACAGATTCTGTGTCCGATGTTTCTAATCTTATATCTTGTCTAACACAACAATTTAAATTATCAATGACATACATCGCCACTCCACCACCCTTCCTGTTGACTCCATCAGTGTGGAACAGTTTATAACCCTGTAAATTGCATTCAGAAGGTATTTCTCTATTCTTCCAATTGAACGAGGTCTCCGTTATAGCAATAATATCTATATTACCTGCACTTGCAAGTAATCTTAGCTCATCCATCTTATTCCTTAGATTCCTACTATTTGTATAGTAAACACTTAAGGGAGCTACTCCCTCATTGCCCTCTAGCTCTGTTTGTTGAACAGTTGCTTTGCCTTTACTAGTCTTTTAAACATATCCCTTGGGTATTCTAGTAATATCTGCTGTTTTCAACCCTAGTACTGCAGCTGGATTGTTTCCCACAAACACCCATACCTCTATAATCTATCAGTTTAAAGTCCTAGACAAGTTATCAATGACCCTCTCAATCAAATTGGCTAATGCAACCACACCAGCCCCAGAGAGATGAACCCCATCCCTTGCATACATATCACGTTTGCCATAGAATTTGTCCCAGTTATCAATGAATGAGATTGCAAGATCCTTGCAGTACCTGTCTAGCCAGCAATTTATACCAACTGCCCTACACATCTATTCATTGCCCACTCCCTTTCTAGGCAAAATGCTACACATGACTGAGATCCCTTCCTTAGACCTCACTACTTCTATGGCTGACCAGATTCTTTCATGCCACTCCTCACATTTAGTTTTTATTCCATCTGCATTTGTATACAAAACCTTCAACTTCTTTTCTAAAACTGTTGTCAGGGGGGCACATTGGGGTTGGGGGAATGGGAGACCTGATGAGGAACTATGGGTGGTTGCTGTGAAGGTGGAGTTTGTAATGAGGTGGATGGGGGCACTGGGTATGGCATGCGTTTTTTGGGTTAGAATGTTTGGTTGTAATGCGTTTGTCCTGGTTGCGGGGCTTCTGTAGGTGGTTGTGAGGGAAGTTGTATTTGAACTTCCTCCTGAGTCTGGGTTCTCCTGACCATCTCCATCATCACCTCTCTTTCCTCCTTTCATCTTTGTACCCTTCTCTTTCCTCCTTTCATCTTGTACCCTCTTTCAGTTTCTGCCTTTCTTCTCGTGTTCTGTCGTGGTCGAGATACACCCTCCGGTATACCGAAATGTCCCTTAGTCTTGCTTTCTCCTACAGGATCCTGTTTTGAGCTAATCCTGCCTTGAAAATCACTTTGACTGGCAGATTCTTCCTCTTGCAAACCCCCCTATTCTCAGAAAAATTACCATATCACGGGTGGGGGGTTAGAACCCACGATCAGAGAGTCACAAAACTTCAGATTGACATGGTAGCCACTGGGCCAGCTAACTGCAATAAGATTCATCCAACTAAGTATATTTCTACACCATAGAAAGGTTAGTATAGGCACCACTGCTAACCTTCCTATGGTGTAGAAATATACCTAGTTGGATGAATCTTATTGTAGCTAGCTGGCCCAGTGGCTAACGCGTTGGTCTGGAGTTTTGTGACTCTCTGATAGCGGATTCTAACCCCACCTGTGATATGGTTTGTTTGCAATTGTGTCATTATGATTTTGTGACTCAGAAAATTTGCCAGCTGGGTCATATCATCTTCTATTGCTTTCATGATGCTTTCAATTGCTTTTTTCTCCCAGTGAGTGATGGTGAGAGCATTTCTTATTTTTGGGGTCACCCTACCTTTGTGAGAGATAACCAGTGTGGTATAAAAAATAAATGGTAAGCTAATAGCTAAGTAAGATATTTATCACCAGCATCAGCAGCAACTTATGTTCCTAATATTGAATGCAAAATCACAACGACATGCATTCATCAACTTCCTCTTATAACAAGATTATATCAAACAGAAGCTGAGGGTGCGCTAGTGTGCAGTGATCAGTCACAGGAGCTGAAGAAACTCAGGCAGTCATTTACTGGTTAACTTAAAGCCTAAAAATAAAGGGTAGATATCACTTTATATATATATAATATATATATATATATAAATATATATATATATTTATATATATATATATATATAGTAATGTTAAGTGTGGAAATTAGGAGAAGGTGTGGAGTTAATAAAAGTATTAGTGAGAGGGTGAAGAGGGTTGTTGAGATGGTTTGGTCATTTAGAGAGAATGGATCAAAGTAGAATGACATGGAGAGCATTTAAATCGGTAGGAGAAGGAAGACGGGGTAGGGGTCATCCTCGAAAAGGTTGGAAGGAAGGGGTAAGGGAGGTTTTATGGGCGAGGGGCTTGGACTTCCAGCAGGCGTGCATGAGGCGGTTCGAAAGGAGTGAATGGAGACGAATGGTATTTGGGACCTGACGATCTGTTGGAGTGTGAGCAGGGTAATATATAGTGAAGGGATTCAGGGAAACCGGTTATTTTTATATAGCTGGACTTGAGTCCTGGAAATGGGAAGTACAATGCCTGCACTCTAAAGGAGGGGTTTCGGGATATTAGCAGTTTGGAGGGATATGTTGTGTATCTTTATACGTATATGCTTCTAAACTGTTGTGTTCTGAGCACCTCTGCAAAAACAGTGATTATGTGTGAGTGCGGTGAAAGTGTTGAATGATGATGAAAGTATTTTCTTTTTGGGGATTTTCTTTCTTTTTTGGGTCACCCTGCCTCGGTGGGAGATGGCCGACTTGTTGAAGAAAAAAAAGGAAAAAAAAAAAAAGTAATGTTAAGTGTGGATATGTATTTAACAGATGAACTACTATTAATAACCTGCTGATTAAATAGAACATACACTGTGCATTATGTGAAAAATGCTGATCATTGTATAAAAAAACAGTGCAGTAGATAATTTGACAGTAGAGAACAATTACTATTACTTATAGCAATTTCAATTGTGATTGCCATGTACTGTAGAGACAGCTAAGAAATGAGTAATGGTAACTGGGTTTCCTTCTTGGTGGAATATAGCCAATGTTTTATAAAATATATGCAATAATAACAATGATGATAATAATAGAGCAAGGGGCTAGTAACCCTTTCTACTGTATAAATTACTAAATGTAAAAAGAAAAACATTCGTTTTTCATTTTGGGTCACCCTGCCTCGATGGAAGACTGTTGATGCATTGAAAAAATAATAATAGAAAACTGAGGCAATCATTTCACTTATGAAGGATCTTACCCTGCAATCTGGAGTTTCTTTGACTGGTTTGGTGTTATGGAACCAAGTAACAGTAGGGCTTGGTAAACCTGTCACATGGCATTCCAATTTGAACTTTTGCCCCGCCCTGCCATCCATTT